ACCCTTTTTGGCCCCGCCCCTCAGGCCCCTGGGGGCTTAGGACTAAACCGGCAACTATTTTTGTTGACCTTTGTCCATGGAAGGTCCCTGCAAAATTTCATTGAAATTGGTTCAGGGGTTTTGGAGAAGAAGTCGAAAATGTAAATTGTTTATGGACGCACGACGGACGACGGACGCCGGACGACGACGGACAAAAGGCGATCGCAATAGGTCACTTGAGACTTTGTCTCAGGTGACCTAAAAAGGGAGATCAGAAAAACCCCTCCAACTACCGTGGGATCACCGTTACCACAGTCATACTTAAAATCATGGAACATATTCTCAACGCCAGACATAACGTTATCCTGAATCTAACACAATCCAAACTACAGACCGGTTTCACCAAAGGTACATCATCTATCAACTCAACTCTCATCATAACAGAATGCCTTAAGGAAGCCCGTCTACAAAGAAAGCCTCTTCTACTAACAACACTCGATGCACAGAAGGCATTCGACGTCGTGGATCACAATATCCTTTTAAACAAGCTCTATGACGATGGAATCAAGGGCGCTGACTGGCTGATGATTCAGGATCTCTACAAGGATGTCACATCAGGCGTCAAGTGGGAGGGACAGACTTCAGACCCCTTTACTGTTCGACAAGGAGTCCGTCAAGGGGGAGTACTCTCCACTTCTCACTACAAACGTTTTAATAATCCCCTACTGAAAGATCTGGAAGAAAAATGTGAGGGAGCCAATATAGGATACATCAGAATCCCACACACAACATGTGCGGATGACATTGCCCTTCTAGCTCACACGGCTCTCGACATGAAACATGCTGACCAGGGTAGAGAATTATTCAACTCAAGAAAGATATCTACTGAACCCTTCAAAAAGTAAGATGAAACTGTACAACACCAAAGATGTAGAAACATTCTCCATATATGAAGAACCAATAGAGATAACAGACCAGTTACCCCATCTTGGAGTCTTTAGAAATGGCAAAAACTCCATAGACTGCGAGAAAACTGTCCAGACAGGAAGGAAAACAGCTTACTCACTCATGGGATCTGGATTTCATGGGAAGAATGGATCATCTCAAATGGTTAAAGCACATCTTTGGAAAACCTTTGTCGTCCCAAGACTCACATATGGAATGGAAATACTCAACTACGCAAAAACGCAGATGAAAGACCTGGAACGGTTCCAGACCAAATCACTAAGACAGGTACAACATCTTCCAGACAGGACAGCAACATCTATATCCCTGGCATTACTTGGAATTCCTCCACTCAGATGTGTCATTGACAGAAACACACTGAACCTGTTCTACAGAATCATTACCAACCCCAACTCCATAAGAGTACTCTATAGCATATCGCCAACTAGCAGTGAGATCGAGAGACGAGGATAGCTGGTTCTCTCATGTGAGGGACCTCCTGGAACAGTACAATCTTCCAACGGCATTTACTCTTCTCGATGATCCTCCACTCAAAAGTCAATGGAAAAAGATGCTAGACAGGGGGATATCTACGCATATTCAAGACAGTTGGAAAGATGATTTCGCCACCAAATCGTCACTCAAATACATTAACCCTGATTCCATTACCTTGAAAGAACCTCACCATGTCTACTCCACAGTGCGAAATAACAAACACGATGTCCAACGAGCCGAATGCAAGACAAGACTCCTCATGGGCACATATACCTTACAGGCAAATAGAGCAGCCTTCAACCAATACAACGTCAACCCGGAGTGCAGACTATGTCATACAGGGCCAGAGGACCGTCAACACTTCATAGCCGTTTGTACAACATATGATAGAATAAGGGAACATGCCTATCTGCGACTACAAAATATTCCAGCAATCCAGCAATATACAGAACTGACTTCAAATCCTACAAAATTCACTCATCTGATACTAGATTGCACACACCCAGAGATCAGTGATATCCATGTTTTTAACAAAGATGAGATCAAAAAAATTGAACTCCACAGTAGAGAATACTTGCAAGAAATCCATCTACGACAAGTTAAGCTACTTGCAGAACTAGATACAGAGGAGAATGGCAGACCCTCCAATTAATGAGATTGATTTATATAAACTTTACTATGTTTTATAGAAGAGAAAAGAACTCTTCAGTTTTTAATCCCTGTGTACATACGCTCTGACTGTGTACATATTTGTACAGATTTTATTGCTGAAGCCGATATTCTACGCTACTAGGAAGTAGTGGTGCCTCGACAAGACAACGAGGGAATCTACCAAGGAACCTGAACCTGAATGGCCGACATGGGAGCATGGTACAGCGCAAGATGTAAACAAAAGCGTACGATGGAGAAATAGTTAACTTACTTTCAACTGCATGATTGCATCGTTTTTGTTATTATGGTAATTGTATCTTATCTTATATATTGCAACACTACTCTCAAACAAATTCTTCGTGTAAAAATGAACCGTGCATGCCTTACGATACAGTAAAAACAATAGTTTTCGTTTTTGAAAGTGGGCTCTACAGGTAACATTACTGCTGTTTTAATTTTGATAGGCATTCCAATGATAATGTTTTTAAAAGGTAGGCCCTAATTCAGATGAGCTATTCTGATAAAAATGAACTGACGCATACGTAACGTTACCTATTTTGACGCACCAATAATAGTGCATTTTCTCGGCGAAATATTTTCAAATCAGCAAGTAATCATGATGACATCAGTATATGATATAAGTTACAAGCAAATAAAAATCGTTGGGAGTTGAATTTTAGCGTATATATAGCGTTAATTTTTCACAATTTCAAAAACGAAAAAGAAAACCACTGATCGCGTTGAAAAAAAAGTAAATCGAACACGTACATCGTTATAGTTTAGAAATGAATAACCTGGATCGTTTCATTAGCTGTCAAGTGACAAGTACCTTTGGTCGAGTTTTACTTTTCGAATGCTACCCAAATAGCAAAGAAAGACTCATATAAACGCTCAAAACACATTTGTCTTGCATACATGGTGAATCTGGTGAGATGAATATTGTAAATCGTTTCATTTTCATGTGTACTTCATTTTGCAAACTACATGTATTAATTCATGCAAAAATGTTTTATTCAAAATCATTTGCAGTATTTGTGTCAGTGATTAAATCAGTAATAGTTCAAAGTATCCTCTTCTTCGATAATTCCTGCACCAGTATTTGAGTATTATCCACATTAAATTATCAGAAGTGTTTCTAATTTAAGTCCTGAACATCAGTAAAACAGAATGTTGCCTTGTATTTGTTTCTCTCAGTTTATTTAAAATGCAAAATTATTTGTTTCAGTGAGTTCTGCAAAAAAAAAGTACAAGGTGTATGAATCCAATCCATGTGTTGAAATACCTACAACTACAAAATATAGATGGTAGGTCTTTTTTATTATAAGGTGTAAAAAGAAACAGTTTGTTTGTTTTTATTGAGCCTCAAAGAGCAACCGTTGATCAAATTTCATCATAACAGATTTCATTTTTTTTTAAATCATGCTGTAACTGCCCATTGAGATATATATTTCAAACAGCTGATCATTAAATTTTCAGTTAGTCGGTCCCTTTGTCTGTATGGACATGAGTTTGTCCAATGCACTGTAGTTAGTTACTGTAACTTTTGTAATTAACTTTTGATGAAACTTGGTAGCTATAACCGTTTCCTTGATTAGGTAATACTGTTTTTGATTCTTTTTTTGTTTCAACAATACATATATTAATAAATTGTTTTTGCTTTCACCAGGAAAAACCAACTGAACACATCGGACTCTTCTTCAGTGCCCACATCTCTTGCAAGTATTGGAACGCTCCATGACATTAATAACCATCATGATCAGACTGGCTCCAATCAACAACATGAACAGGAAACTGTAGATATACCAATTCAAAATTCTAGTCCCACAATAGGTGATGCTGAGTCAATTACAAGTACATTGCTGAGCAGATTCATGCCTGTGGCTGGCAGCTCACAAGATAGGGATAGAATTGTCTCCCTTGATTGTGCCTCTGAAGAGATCAATGAACTATATACTGGACATTTAAAACCACCTTCAGAAGTTGTTGATGATTTTGGGTTGGTAAATACAATGGACATTTGTGAATCGGATATGGAGAATGATAGTAGTGGAGAATCAATTGAAAGTGCGTCCATGGATTCAGACTCTGACCACGAAGACAATATTAATTCTGAATCACAAACATTTCAAAGCCCACCATTCTTTGTTTTACCTCCTTCAAGCGAGGTATTCAAATCTGATATTACCTATTATGAACATATGGTGGCAGTAAATGCACTTGCTACATCAGGTAATCTAAGCAGCTTAGTGTTTCAAAACCTTTTAGATTTGATAAAACTTCATGTCCCAGACAAAAGTTTATGTGAAGGAAATGTGAATGACTTAAAAAAAAAGTTAGGGTTCAATAAGGATTACCTTCAGAACTTTGAATATTGTAGTATTTGTGGCAGCACTTTCCCAGATGACGGCAATGTATTAAAAACATGCAGAACATCAGGATGTGAAGGTCTCCGATCAAACAGAGATTACTTTGTTGTGGGGAATATTAAAAAGCAAATCAAGGAAATCATGGAGCGGAAAGGTATTTGGTTGAAGATTCAGGATGAATTGAAGCCACCAAAAACCACATCCTCCCCCATTGTTGACATAACATCAGGATGTGAATTCATACAAGAAGATGGCTGTAGAAGGAGGCTTTTTGGACAAAAATAATACCAACATCACGCTGACATTTAACACTGAAAGGGACCAGGAAAGAATCTCAAAAAACATTGAAGAAGCAGTGTTGTCTGACAAAACTGTGAAAGGGTTTAATGGAAGATGTGCTATTAGATGCCTTCCAGGATTTTCTCCTGCAAACAACATTGTCATTGATTACATGCATGCTTGTCTTGCTGGAATAACCAAACGCCTCATTAAACTTTTTACCGATGGGACCAGTTTCAAAGAGGATTATTTCATTGGTCACAAAGTACCTTTGATTGACAAGCAGCTCAAGTGTTTGCGTGTACCATACCTCATCAACAGGAAACCAAGACCTCTTTCACTTTACTTGAAATGGAAATCATCTGAGTTTAGGTCTTGGATGTTGTATTACAGTATTCCATGCCTGATCAACCACCTCCCTGAAGTTTATCTCCAGCACTATAGTTGTTTGGTTGAGGGTATCCATATCCTTCTTCAGAGTAATGTAACCGAAGAAGACATAACCTTATCTGAGACACTTCTCAATGCTTTCTACAAACATGCTTCAGAATTGTATGGTGAGAACTTTGTGGGACTAAATGTGCACAACTTGTCTCATCTTCCAGATTGTGTCAGGAAATGGGGTCCCCTCTGGGCTTATTCATGCTTTGGGTTCGAGTCTGCCAATGGAGAACTCTTGAAAAAATATTCATGGTAAGAAGAATGTCTGCTATCAGGTGTTTTGGGCATTGCAAGCACAAAAAAGATTGGAGATAGAGAACGAACGTCTTCCTGAAGGGCGACTGAAAAACTTCCTGAGAAGCACAATATCCAAAAAATCTGGAGACCATGAAAGGTGAATTGATGCTTATCAATGCCAAGTATACCCAAAAATCACCATCTGTGACCCGCTTGCTTTGACCCCGAACATCAAGGATCAAATATATCAATACCTTGGATGCATGGATGATGGCGCTGCAGGACTTCACAAAGCTGTTAAAATCAAGAGAAATGGCTTCATTTTCTATTCGAAGCAGTGTCCAAGAGTGAAGTCGACAAACTCTTACACAATTGCCCTTGAACAACCACTTGATGATGGATCTGATATTGTGGAAGTTGAGTACTATTTGGTACATCAAGGAGCCTCTATGAAAGTGTTTGCAGTTTGCAACACATTTACAACAACAAATTTGGAAGTTCCAAGGCAAATCAGGAGTATAAGGATAGTTACAAATAAAAGGTAAGATATGAAACATGAAATTTGAATAATATAGTGAAAAGATATGCCTCGTGTCTAGTTGCAATTGATCATTGTACTATTGACCTCACGTAATTATAATCATTGCTTTTGTTTAATTAATTTTGTCAAGGCAATGATGGCATTTTTTATGCAGAAATCGTCAAAACTGAAAGAAATCTGAATTTTTTGTTCTCATATGACTTTATTTGTCTATATTTATTGCTTGTCATGTCATGACCGAGTGAGCGATTTGTATTGTGTATAAAGCAAATCGATCACTCGGACAAAGCCTGCACCAGTCGATCCTGAAACATGTTTAATATACGTGTACATACAAAGTAAAACTTTGAATTACATTTTTCCAAACTGATGAATCTTAATGTGATATAATAAGTACTTTTCTCAATATTTGTATTTTTCAGAAGTCAAGTAGTAGTTCCTGCAACTCTGCTGAAAGAACATGTTGTTTTCATGGAAGTACATGGGCAGAAATATATTTCCAAATTTCCAAATTTTGTGGAAAGAGACTAAACAGGAATGGATTGGTGAAATTCAGGGGATTAGTGATGAACATATGTGATCAACTGTCAAAAAAACATGTAGATATACATACCAGGATGTCAAATGGTTATATTATAACTTATCAGTCTTGAAAAAAGGTTTAAATTCACTTTCATGGAGCATCACTTGCATTGACTGAAGGGATTTGGCACACTTGCTCCTCTCAAAGCCATGATGAAATATTTTTTGTTTTAATTTACGAGTTAAAAGTTACCTACTTAAAAATTCCAATCAGAAGTGTTTTGGATATTTTGCAATACCCGTTCATTTAACTGAAATACAATTTAGATTTTGTTCTATGCATGTATATGTATGTTAAACCTGATTTCTCTGTTTTAAGTAATTTTTCATGGAATTTATTCTAATAAATTCATATCATGTATTGTTTCAAGTAATTTGTGTTAAATTTTGAATTAAAAGTAGAAAGTCTGTAATTATTTCAAGGAAAATATTTAACCTAAGTCAACAAGCATTACAGTAAAATTTTCAAAGTCCACAATCTTCCAATGTTGCAAAAATATTCTAAGTCCACAATCTCCATGGCAAAAATATTTGAAGTCCACAATCTCCGTGGCAAAAATATTCTAAGTCCACAATCTCCGCAATATCTCCACAAGTAAAATATTCTAAGTTCAAATTCTCCATGATCTCCGTTCAGTCTCCATGGAGTTTTATGTATTCTCCACGGAAATTCTACGGAGAATTCGTGAAATTTTGTAAAAAAATGTTTTCCGCTGAAACTCCGCAGAGATTCCGTGGAATTTCCATGTAATCTCCACGGAGATAAACATCTCCATGGAGAATTTTCAATTGGGTAACTTCCTAATACTTTCTTATGCATGGTTCACATGTACATGCCAGTCTAGTAAATCAATATTTTGGATGAAACTGGACCATATGACAACATAAAAATTTCTCACACCTCAGACAGAGATATCCCATGTCATACCCCATGCTAGATTTTTTTATCTCGTCCAATCTGTCTTGTACCTTTACGTGACATTTCGCGGAATTTTTACACTGCGATGTATTTATCCGTGCATTAACTGCTCGAAATAGACAATTTGCATTATGAATGTCCTGTTTTGTCATTATATGTATAGCTTTTTTGTTGTAAGATATTTGATGTTGTAGATAAAATATAATCAACACTGCGAAATACCATGTAATCTATGTAAGGACTGACTAAGTTTTTACGCGGAAGCATTCAAATGTAGCGTAAGTAGTGAAGAGGTCATTATCACTTGAGGCCCAAGGCGGGATACTTGTAGTTTTTAGCAAAATTGAATAGGTTTTTTTCAAACTAAAAGGTGCAAGAAAAAAAATCAATTACCTGTAACAGAGCAAGATCGGGATATCTCAGTCTCGGGCTAAGATTCTGTAACAAAATCTTTTATCCCTAGACTGAGATAACCCAATCTTGCTCAGTTACAGGTAAGACATTTTATTAATATATAGAAATTCTACTTACCAAGTCCAACGGAATTAAATTTTCTGATCGCCAGTGAGGAAATAGATGTCATGGGGTACCCAAGACATATCACCTGCTGACGGTACACTGGTGTTTTTCTATGGCCCAATCTTCTTGCCGAACGATCTGTTGTTCTGAAAGCTTCAACACTGTAAACGAAAAATACATATAAATTACCAGCCAAACAACACAACAGTAGTTGCCTTTGGCCAAAACTTTTCGTTACTTTCATTGAACATCTAAGTCACGATTAAGACAAGAGTAAATTCCCTTGAACATATTGAAACTTTGCCGGAATGAAATTTACCCTAGATACTGATTTAGGCTGGATACAATTTTCTTCGTTTTATCATTGATCAGTTTGCCCTTTTGCCCTTTTTTATATGCTATACTGTTCTTTTGTTTCTGGCAATAGGCAGTTCATTATGTAGCTATAGACTAGCTAGTACCTGACAAACTGTTGTGCACATATTATATCTACGCACACACTATGATTAAGATTTTGGTTTCAAAGTCTTATCTTAAATTCCACACTATTTCACCTACATAATTAATGAATGTTGGTATGTGGGTAGGGTAACCAAAATCTTATATTATGTAGGTCAAAGTGGTGATCACAGTGACCTAGATATCATGCATGACACACCACCTTTCAAACATCTACACACATACCAATTCATTGATGTAGGTGAAATGGTGTGGAAGATATGGCCAGGAAAGTTAAATCTTACATTATGTAGGTCAAAGGTCAAAGTAACCTTGTTATGGTACGTGACAAACCACCTTCCACTTTGTTGAAGCGGGGATATAATTGATGTATCAACGATTAGCTAGACGCCTACAATTTGGACATTTTTTTTCATCATAAATATACTCTTCAAGCATAAAAATAGTACAACAGATCTTCATGACAGCATTTATAGTTTCTGGGTTGAAATTATATGGCAACCCCCCTCCCCTTTCCTCTCCTTAACCACAAAAAACAAGAGGCCCAGAGGGCCTGTATCGCTCACCTGAATATGTGTTTAAAATAATTGGTATGAAGTAAAGATATAGCACTCCATGGTAGGTGCTGTAAGCACATATGGAAAGATCCATCCAGTACTTGAGATATAACGAGAAAAAACTTCAAACAGAGCCCCACCCCTATGCCCCTAGTGGGGTCATACCCACCAATTCTACAAAATTGAAACCCCTTGGCCAAAGGATGCTCCAGACTAAATAAGGATAAAATCCCTTAATCCTGATGGTTGAAGAAGAATTTTAAAAGTTTTACCTCTATTTCTCCTATTGGGACCCGCCCTTCCACCCCCTGGGAGACCACACCCACTGCTTATACAAACTTGAGTCCCTTGGCCCAAGGATGCTCCAGACTAAATTAGGATAAAATCCCTTAATCGATATGGTAGAAGAAAGATTATAAAGGTTTTACTTCTATTTTCCCTATTGGGCCCCGCCTCTCAGGCCCCAAGGGGGGCCAGACCCACCATTTATACAAAATTGGTTCCCCTTAACCCAAGAATGCTTCAGACCAAATATGGACTAAATCCTTTCATTCCTACAGAATAAGAAGGATTTAAAAGGGGCTGGTTGGGGAAAAAATGTCATATTTGCTAAAATAGCATACACATGTTTAAAATACCTTCTTATGAAATATACCGATTCAAATTTTGCTGAAATTCACTCCCTAAGAGTAAAAATTATAATTATATTAAAGAAATCCTAAATCGTCACCTGACAGTCTAAAACTCTCAATTGACCCAGATCAGTGATGTAATTTTACCGCATGCGCGTCATCAACAAGGCCAAATTTAAACATCGCGGCGAAAGAAAAAGATGCATGCAAAAGTCATGACAGGCACGAGGTATCAATACCGTTATATATAACAACAGCATATAGGTAGGAATACTACACTTGCATTGATCATACATGACCTTTGAAAACAATTATTTACGTATAGTATTGCGGTCTTGTCCGCTAGTTGAGTCCGACTTGGCACATGACGGCGTGCTATTGTTGTTATCTTTACTGCTTCATTTTCGAAACAACCACGTGACATATATAAATAGATCTGCCCTAAATTTACGCGGGGCTTCCCCGATATTTTAGTGGTCAAAACTGGACATTGCAAGCAGAACTCGACCATCATATTGCCGTGATATAACTTTTGGAAGGCCAGAGAACGCATTTAGACCCATTTATTTTGTAATTTTTTCCCCGACCAGCCCCTTTAAAGAATTTGCTATGTTTCCCATATTTGGCCCCGTTCCTCAGGCCCCTGAGGGGGGGGGGGGAGGGCAGACCCACGGTTTATACAAAATTGGGATGCTTCAGACCAAATATGGAACAAATCCTTTCATTCCTACAGAAGAAAAAGGATTTTAAAGAATTTGCTATATTTCCCCTATTGGGCCCCACCCCTCAGCCCCCAGATGGCCAGAACCA